AGACCCCCCATGACGCTCGCGCTGGACCTCGACGAAACCCTAATCTTGGCCACAAGGATTAAAGTAACCAAACCCTAAACCCTAAACCCTTTGAAGTCCCATGACACGCTGCTGCTGCTGCTGCTGCTGCTGCTATAACTTCTGCTGCTGCTGTTCTTTCTGCTGCTGCTGCTTCTCCTGCGGCTACCGCTATTGCTTATGCTCCTCCTTTTGCTATTTGTGCTGCTGCTGCTGGTGCTGCGTCTGTTACTCTTCGTGCCGATGCCGCTGCTGCCGCTGCTGCCGCTGCTGCTGCTGCTGCTGCTGCTGCTGCTGCAGCTGTTTGCTTCGCAGCAGCGGGTGCTGATGCGGGTCAATTCTGTCCCCACGGCCTTCCAAGTCGCCAAAAGACCCCACGCGGATTTCTTCCTTCAGGAGGTATTTTCATAGCTGGCTAGCTAGCTAGCTAGCTAGCTAGCCAGCTAGCTAGCTGGCTAGCTAGCCAGCTAGCTCGCTAGCTAGCCATCTGGCTAGCTAGCTAGCTGGCTAGGCAGCTAACTGGCTAGATAACCAGCTAGCTGGCCAGCTAGCTACCCAGCTAGCTAGCTAGCTAGCTAGCTAGCTGGCTGGACAGCTAGCTAGCCGGGCAGCCAGGCAGCTAGCTAGCTAGCCGTCCAGTGAACTAGCTAGCTAGTCAACTAGCTAGCTAGCCGGCCAGTTAGCTAGCCAGTCGGCTAGCCAGCCAGCTAGCTAGCCAGTTAGCTGGCCAGCAAATCAGTCAGCTAGCTAGCCAGCTAGCTAGCAACCTCGCTAGTCAGCTAGCTAGCTAGCTAGCTAGCTAGCTAGCTAGCTAGCTAGCTATTCCGCGAGCTAGCTGCCTAACTGACTAGCTAGCTGCTTAGCTTGCTAGCCAGCGAGTCGGCTAGCTTTCTACCTAGCTAGCTAGCTCGCTAGCTAGCTATCAGTTAGGTACCCAGCTAGCTAGCTAGCTGGGTACCTCGCTGGCTAGCTAGCTAGCTAGCTAGCTAGCTAGCTAGCGAGCTAGCTAGCTAGCTCTCGTTTTCTTTTTTGTGCCTTTTTGTTGTTTTTTTATTTTTCGAATCTTCATGTCTCTCTTATCATTTTAATATTCTTTTATCTTTTTTAATTCCTTTTTTATTATTTCTAATTTCTTTTTTTTAATTTTTTTTATTTTAATTTATTGTATTTCAATTTAATTTTAATTTCTCTTTTGTTTGCAGCTTTATGGTTTATACGAAATTGTCATTTATACTGCCAGCAGAAAAGAATACGCCGACGCAGTGCTAGGTGCAAACCCTAAACCCTAAACCCTAAACCCTAAACCCTAAACCGTAAGCTCTAAACGCTAAGCCACAAACCCTAGGCCATAAACCCTAAACTCTTAATCTTCACACCCGTAGTTCCTGGATTTGAAATAACTATTTACGAATCTGAAACCCTCCATTTGAACCCTAAACCCTAAACGCTAAACCCTAAACCCTAAACCCTCGAATTGTCCCTAGTTTATTTTTCTTTTTTTGACTCTGTTTTCGACTTTTCCGCTTCTGTCTTAATTGGAGTTTTCTGTTTGTCTCTTTTAGTTTCTTTTTTTTTTCTTTTTATTTCTCTTATTTCTTTTTTATTTATTTCTCATTTTTTATTTCTTTTAAATTTTATTTTTGTTTTTCTTCCTTTTTTGTCGCTGTTCCTTTTTATTCATTTCATTTAAATTTAAGATTTGAAAGCTAGTTGGAGATTCTGCTTTTATGCATTTTTTTGTTTATTTATTTATTGTTTTTTTTGGTCTCTTTATTATTTTATTTGTGACTTAATTACTTAATTACCAAATTAATAATTCGATTAATTAAGTACTTGATATATCAAATGAAATAAATAAATTCATAAATAAATAAATAAATAATTGGATCCATAAGTTAAATAATGAACTAAACAAATTATTAAATTACCTAAATGAATTAACAAATTAATCAATTAATTAACTAATTGATTAATTAATTAGTCTAATTAATTGATTAGTTAAATTAATCAATTATTTAAATTAATTAATTATTTAATTAAATCAACTAATTAATTTAATTAATTAATTAGATTATCTTATTTTTGTTTTTTATTTTTAATTTCAGATGCGACGAATCTGCTGCTGTACGTGGACCGCGTCTTTACCCGCAGCGACTGTATCTACACAGGTTGGAAAATAAATAAATAAATAAAATCAATTAATAAAATAATAAAATAAATAAATAAATAAACAACTATATAATTGAATAACTGAAATAAATTAAATAAACAAATAAGGAAATTTTGAATGCTGAAAAGACGAAACAATGAGAATTTAAATTTATTGAGAAATGGCGAAATCCGCTTTTATGAATTGATGAAACAAAAGATGAATTTAATTTTTAATTTATTGTTATTATTTATTTAATAATTTATTATGTATTATGTATTATTTGTTTATTTTTATCTACTTATTTATTTTATCTATTTATCTCTTTGACTTCTTATTTATTATTTGCTTATTTATTTGTGTATTCATTTATTTGTCCATCGATTTATTATTTGTCATTTTAGTTATTTATATGATTTATTATTCATTTACCATTACTTAATTAATTAATAGGTTATTAATATTTATTTATTTATTTATTTAATCGTTTTTATTTATTTATTTATTTACTTACTTATTTATTTTTATTTATTTATTTATTTTCAGATTTTGGCTACGTAAAGGATTTGCGGAAATGCCGAAAAGATCTTTCGAAAGTTCTTTTGGTGGATGACTCTTTAGTGGCTGGCACCCACTGCCGAGGCAAACCCTAAACCCTAAACCCTAAACCCTAAGCTCTAAACGCTAAAGCCTAGGACCTAGCCTCTCGAGCTGAGAGCTTAAACCCTAGAAAGTGGGTTTAGGCCTTTGCAAAAAGTTCGCAAACCCCTAAACCCTAAACCCTTTACCCCATCGCTCAATTCCTAAACTCTGCAGAGCAGCACTGAGCAGTAGTTCACGCTAAACCCTAAACCCTAAACCCTAATGGCGAAAAAGAGCGTTTTGAGAGGGGGCTAATAGCTGTCGCTTACCCGCTGTTTCATTGTCGGGTTTAGGGTTTAGGGTTTAGGGTTTAGAGCTTTAGGGTTTGTGATTGAGGCCTGAGGGTTACGGGATTTGGGTTTGGGGCTTTGAGACTCAACAGTGAGGGTGTGGGGTTTAGGGTTTAGGGTGTAGGGTTTAGGGTTTAGGGTTTGGGGTTTGCTGCAGAGAACTTTGTGCACATTGGGGGCTGGTGCGGCAGCGAAAGCGACGAGCAGCTGCTGCTGCTGCTGCCGCTGCTGCATGCATTAAGAGCAGCAAAAGACGTCAGGGCCATTTTGGGGCTTAGGACCATGACCCACCCGGTGCTGCTGCTGCTGCTGCTGCTACTGCTGCTGCTGATGCTGCTGCTGATGCTGCTACTACTGCTGCTGATGCTGCTGCTCCTGCTGCTGCTGGTTGCTTTTGCTGCTGCTGCTCCGACAGCCGTTGCTGCTACTCTTGCTGTTGCTGAATGTTGCTGTTGCTGCTGCTGCTACTGTGGTGTTGCTGTTGGCAGTTGCTGCTGGTTTGCCTATGATTTGAATGTTGAGATTGCCAGGTTGCTGCTGCTAAGGGTTTAGGGTTTAGAATACAGGATCTAGGGTTCAGGGTTTAGGGTTTAGGGTTTGAGTTGCATTCTGGCTGCTGCTTCTTGCAGTTACTTCAGCCCGCTGCGCAAAGCCTTCATGGCTCTCAGCTGCAGCAGCAGCAGCAGCAGCGGCAGCACAAGCTGCTGCAGCAGCACAAGCATCATATCCACGACCTGAACCTGAAGGAGCAGCAGCAGCAGCAGCAGCAGCGTTCGCGGCTGTCTAGTTTGCCTTTGCATGCATTTCAAGTCTGCAAAAGGGCACTTGGAAGGTCTAGGACGTTTGCTGCTGCTCTGCAGCAGCAAGCAGCAAAGCTGCAGCAGCTGTTGCAGCAGCAGGTGGGGCTGCGTGTTGCGGGCAGCGACTTGGCGGCCCAGCAGCAGCAGCTGCAGCATCACCAGCAGGTTTTGCTGCAACATCACCAGCAGGTTTTGCTGCAGCAGCAGCAGCAGCAGCAGCAGCACCGGCGACAGTGGGAGCTGCTGCAGCTGCAGCAGCTGCAGCAGCTGCAGCTGCAGCAGCAGCTGCAGCCACGGCAGCAGCAGCAACAGCAGCTGTATTTGAGGGATCCTGGGGCTGCAGCAGACTTTCATGCAGTGCAGCAACGAAAGCCGAAGCTGCAGCAGCAGCAGCAGCAGCAGCAAAAATACCAGGAGGAAAACAGGCAGAATTAGAGCACTCATGTTGGCCGCACAGCGAGGAGCTACAGCAACAGCAGCAGCAACAGCAGCAGCAGCACCAGGAACAGGTACACACTCCGAAAGAGACAAGAGTGCTCTTTGCGGCGGCAGCAGCAGCAGCAACAACACAGTTTTTTCAAAAAATAAGCGGCGCGAGGTTGATGCCAGCCTGTTGCTGCTGCTATTCTTGCTGCTGCTGCTGTTGCTGCTGCAGCAGGTTGGGGGCAGATACGGGTGCTGCGGGAAACCCCACGGCATTAGTTTCTTGTCTTTATTTGCCTTTGAGGCCTTTTGCTGCTGCATGCTGCTACTGCTGCTGCTGCTGCTGCTGCTGCCAGTACACGTGCCTTTCTTTTTGTCAACGGAGTACACGCCAGCAGCAGCAGCAGCAGCAAAAATTGCAGCAGCAGCGCAAGCAGCCAAAAGCTTCGCAGCAGCAGCAAAGCTAGCAGCAAACAGGTTAAACACTTAACGCAGTAAACCAGATGCAACCAACAGGTCCGGCAGCAGCAGCAGCAGCAACAGCTGTGAATTGCTACAGCAGCGGCAGCAACAGAAACAAACCTTTTCATTTTTGTCGATTCTTTGAATTAGCTGTATAATTCCAAGGAAGCAGAGGCATCAGCAAATGCAGCAGCAAATGCAGCAGCAAATGCAGCAGCAACAGCAGCAGCAAACGCAGAATTAGAAGCAGCAGTAGCAGCAGAAGCAGCAGCACAGAGGGAAGCACGAGAAGCAGCAACAGCGGAAGCAGCACGCGCAGCCAGACAGCCGGCAGCAGCAGCAGGAGCAACAGCAGCAGCAGCAGCAGCAGCAGAACTTAGCGTGTCGCCAAATCTGAAACAGCAGCAGCTCTTGGGGGCCAGGGGCTGCAGGCCACTCCCCGCAGCCCCACGGGCTGCCCACAGCTAGCTGCAGCTAGCTGCAGCTAGCTACTGCTTGCCGCTGCTTGCTGCTGCTTGTTGCTGCTAGCTGCTGCTAGCTGCTGCTAGCTGCTGCTAGCTGCTGCTACCAGCTAGCTGCGGCTAGCTGCAGCTAGCTGCAGCTGTGTACCTGCTGCCAACAGCTAGCTGCTGCTAGAAGCAAGCTGCTGCTAACAGCTGGCTGCTGCTAACAGCTATCTGCTGCTGGAAGCTGCTAACAGCTAGCTGCTGCTGGCAGCTGCTAACAGCTAGCTGCTGCTAGCTGCAACAAGCTAAAGTGGCTAGCTGGCAACAACTGGCGAGCTAGCTACAGTCAGCTAGCTACAGGTAGCTGTGGCTAGCCGCAGCAGGGTACTTCGCTGCGGCTAGGCGTAGCTAGCTGCAGCTAGCTGTATCTATAGCCAGCTAGCTGTACTGCTAGCTAGCTGCAGCTAGCTGCAAATAGCTGTAGCTCGCTGCGGCTTGCTGTAGCTAGCTACAGTTGGCTGTAGCTAGCTGTAGCTAGCTGTAGCTGCCTGAAGCTTGCTCTGGCCATTTGCAGCTAGCTGTAGCTAGCTGTAGCTAGCGGTAGCTGAGTGTGGCTAGCTGCAGCTAACTGTAGCTGGCTTGGGCTAGCTGCAGCTAGCTGGGGCTAGCTGTAGCTAGCCACGACTAGCTGTAGATAGCTGTGGCTAGCTGGGGCTAGCTGTAGCTAGCTATGTAGAGCCCAGGCTAGATCTGGGGTGTATGCACACCTGGGGAGGCGGGGGCTCGAGAGGACCTTGCAAATTAATTTTTGGCGGTTTTGCTGAAGTAAGACAAAAAGGTAAATTAAAAAGAAAAATAATTAAATAAAATATATGAATAGGTTATTTAGAAGAAAGAAAGCGCCAAGGGTCTCGAGCGGTGGCTGGGGCTGAGTGCTGCTGCTGCTGCTGCTGCTGCTGCTGCTGATCGAGAGCAGCTAATTGGTTTCTAGAATTCATCCATAAATAAATTGAAGAAAATAAATTAAAATATTCTTTCTTTGTATTCCACACGCGCTGCAGGAGCAGCAGCAACGGAGCCACCTGCAGCTTTGTCAGTTGAGCAGCAAGAGCAGCAGCAGCAGCAGCGAGAGCAGCAGCAGCAGCAGCAGCTTGTCTGCGCGTGTCTTTCTTTTTTATGCAGCTTTTGCATTTTATTT